GCCAGTTTTACAATCCAAGAATATCTCTATCAGGGGTTAGGGAGCTGTCCCGTTGGAATGCAGTCAACAATAAAGTCTCAGGGCAGCTGTTTGACCGTGCTGTCAAGAAGCCATTTGGGATGTCCAGATCCCATGCTGGAGTACCTGTTTTCAAGATTTGGCTCTGCTCCTAATTCCTGCTTCATGCTAATGTGCCCCCTAGGAAGCAGCAGGTGATAACTTAAGTCTTGGGGTTCCTGAAAGCCACATGGGAGATCTGAACTGATTTCCCAGCTGCCAGTTTTGGCCTAGCCTAGCCCTGGCTTTTTTGGGAATTTGGGGGAGTGAACGCGCAAATGCTACCTTACTCTCTCTGTCTCTCAAATAATTAAAGATGTAAAGTAAATCATACGGAATTTCTGACTATAAATACAAAATTGTATGCCAAATCTCTAGAACTCATCCCTTAAAACTTTAGTTAAGAGGGTAGCTGTCATATGTGTTCTTATCACAATAAAATTTTAAAAATTAGAGAAAGCAAAGGGATTTGAGGTGGGAGGTGGGAGGGAGAGAGAGAGAGAGGAAAGGAAGGAAAAGTTGGAAGGATGAAGACAGATGGAGGGGAGGAGAGGAGGGGAGAGAAGGGAGGGAAAGAGTCTTGGAAAGAAAGGGATAGAGGGGCAGGGAAGGAGGGAGGAGATCCCTCATCTCCTAGTCTCTGTGGGAGAGCAGACGCCTAACTTCAATATGCACAAATTAATACACACAGATGGCCCAACCACAGGAGCCTGCTCCCGCCCAGTCTCCTCTAGGATTTTTTCACTAGCTCATCCCAGTACTTAAAAACTCTCCCATCTTTTGTTTCAACAGAGCTGAGTTCCATTTGCACCAAGTGTCTGGTGCAATTTCCCTGTGATGCATCAAATCATGGCAACACACAAATGTCAACCTGTGTGAGAATAGGTAGGACTATTCAAAGGACAAGGTACTAAGCTGGATGTGAACTTGAGAATTCTGTACACTGGATAGAAAAGAGGCTAGCTGCATTCCAGGCAGAGTGAGTGACAGGGGCACAGGTCCTGGCCCATATACCAATTTTTTCATTTGCAAGCTTCCAAACAAGATATACTAAAATTTAATAAATTTGGATCTATCGAAGTCTACAATATAGTTAAGATTTTTAAGGCAAATTATTCTTCCATCAAGGCCAAATACTGTATATTTCTGCTTCTTTTTGTTGTAAGTAAGCCCAACTTGTGCTGTTGAGAGATTTTTAAATGTTAACACACTTTTTGCCTAATCCTTTCAATCAGGGTGTGACAGATGACTGCTGGCTGAAGGACAGATGTGAATCGCAGTGATGAGAAACACACTATTGCTCAAGGTGATTATTCCTTCCTAAGGTCATCCACATTCATGGCAGTACATTCCTAGGAAAGAGGCTAACAAAACCTCCATTTTTCTTTTTTCCTTTCAGGGCGGCCCCCATGAGAGCAGCTGGGCTCTTATTAATGCCTCTAAATGTTAGCAACAAACCTCTCTGGAATTATACTGAATAAGGTGACGTAGAAGAAAGTTTGTACCAAATAAATTTGCGTAGATTAGAGCCTGCAGGTGGCCTAAAGCATGCCTCTATTGGGAGCCAAACTGTTCAGCACTGGAACCTTTTGAAATGAGAACAAAGAGCCTTTCATTGCCCAAATTCTAAATGCAGCTTAGTACTTCATTAGAAACCTCTTAGTTCGCTGTAGGAATCTTTCAGAATTAATTATGAGGTGGGGTAAAAGCCTTCTTCTCCCAGGATACCATATTGAACCATTTTATTCTGTGTTTCCTGGGAGACCTCCAAGTTGTACAAATTGCAAAAGTCACCAGTCATATTGAATGTAATTTTTTCCTGAACCATAAGCATTGGGTTAAACCAAGTTATCCATCTCTGCTGATACAAACTCTCAACTTAAACTCACTAACAGAAACAAAGGAGTTAAAATTTAAGAAACCTGGGTTTTCTCTCTGGTTCCTTAACCTTGGGATGTTAAATGCCTGAGCTTTACTTTAGTCTTTTATAAAGGAAGGCAGCAAAAACAGATGAGCTTCAATTCCCCTTCCATGTCTAAAATTCCACCACTCTATTTGGGCACCATTTAGTAACTGCCAAGCACTTATCAAAGATAATATTTCCAAAGCTATGGTATCAAATCATTGTGGTTGAGATGTTTTAAATTTTAACTTTTGGAATTCTAACTCTTGCTTTAGTGAACTTGATAAAAAATAGGAAGGTCAGGAGATTCAGAATCCAGAAGTCAGCACAGCACCCCAACACAATGGCACAGAAAGGAATAGAATATTCAGGTGCAGCATTTGCTGCTGCAGCCCAGGATGAAAACCTGAGCCTGTTACATCTCCTGGCCTTGGCCTTTGAGTTTCTGATGTCCGGATTGTATGTCTGTGTTTTCAAAGTACATGAATTCAAATAGCCATCAATCGGGCCAAGGGAAGCAAAACTTTTCCAGAGGTTGGACCAACAACCCCCTCTAATATCATGCAGTGAGGGAACTGTACTATCCTCAGCCAACTACTTTGTTGTCTGAAATGGAGACAAAGTAAAAAGGGACAGTGAACATATGCTCATTACATGAACAAATGAATAAACAACCCATGAATCTCAAGTTTTGGCTTCCAGCTCTGATTGCCAAGATCAGTGCAAAACTCTTAATGGAAGTCTTTTCTAAGAATCAGAGAAATGAAGTATTACTTAGACAATAGAATATTGAAGGAAAACAGCTTCTGATTTCCCCCTTTCTGTACAAAAATTAATAGCACAGAAACAAAAATGTGGTCTAAAGCCACATTTGTAAAACTTTATAAATCTCTAGTTGATAATGAACTCTTGGTCAGACTCTGTTTTTGAGTGCTTTGCGGATGAGGGCAAAACACATGAACACAAGGCTAGAGAATCTCCTTACTAAATCATCGAAGTGGACCAAGTTGTGCATTAGTTTGATGATGATAAAAGCAGTAAGAAAATGATAAGAATGGGGGCCAGCACTGTGGCGTAATGGGTAAGGCTGTTGCCTGCAGTGCTGGCATCCCACAGGGCACCAGTTCGAGTCCCAGCTGCTCCACTTCCTATCCAGCTCTCTGATATGACCTGGGAAAGCAGTAGAAGATGGCCCAAGTCCTTGGGCCCCTGCACCTATGTGGGAGACCCAGAGGAAGCTCCTGGCTCCTGGATTCGGATCAACAAAGCTCCAGCCATTGCAGCCAATTGGGGAGTGAACAAGCAGATGGAAGACTTCTCTCACTCTCTTTCTCTCTCTCTCTCTCTCTCTCTCTCTCTCTCTCTCTCTGACTCTCCTCTGTGTAGCTCTGACTTTCAAATAAGTAAAATAACTCTTAAAAAAAAAACTGTAAGAATGTCTTTCATTGTCACGGTTTTTGTTAAAGGCATTGAAAAATATTCAGGTTATATTTTCTCAAGAAATCACATGCTCTGTTCTCCTGAACCAAGGAATAGAATTTGTACAAATGTCACAGCAAACAATATGGATTTTTAATAATAATGTTGTTAGTCCTTAATCTTTTTCATGACAAAAAATTGAGAAATGTAAAGATATAAAGAGGGTATATTTTTATAAATCATTATGTACAATGAATTTGATTAGCCATATGATATAATCCAACCAGATGTGGTTACAAGAAATGATTGCTTCTCATTGTCATTATTGCCACCACCCTGGCCCAAAGTCAGCCATCTTTCATTTGGATAATTTCAACAGCCTCCTAACTGAACCCCTACTTCTACTCTTGTTCATACTGCAACCCCATGGATACTGCCAATACTGCAACTGATGCAATCCAAGTTGAATCCACTAATGTTTGAGGAACGTCTGGCCCATGAAATCATTTGGTCTGGCCTTGCCAAGGCAACCACAGGCAGGACTCCAAATTCAATAAATCTATTGCAGGGTAATTTTTAAGTTCATAATTTTGTATGGTGTGCTAATGATGTTATAAATACCAATATGTCATGTGGCAGAAAAAAGGTTCCCCACCTCCGCTGCCACTGAGGATTTCCCATCTTAGAGCAAAAATCCTTACTGTAACCTACTGTGCCCCATCTTCAAAGCCTACCTTACTTGTCTCCCCATAGTCTCTCTCTGCTCCCCCAATGACTTTTCTCTTGCTTCAGCCACTTCAGTTCTCTGATACTTCCTGAACACCCTAGCCAATGCCCACCTCAGGACCTTTGCACATGCTGTTTCCGCTTCTTGGAATCCTTCTTCCGCACATATCCCCTGGGATCACTCACTACTTATTCTGAATTTTTCTTTGTTTTTTTTTTTTTTTTTTTTTTTTTTTTTTTTTTAATCTCCCTTATTTAATTTTCCCTGTCCCTGGCTATTTTATATAAAATTCTAGTTTTTCTCTGCAATATTTTCTATCTCCCTCATTTTTTTTTTTATCTCTAGCATTTAGTAGTATTTTGTTGATTTGTTTTTCTTAGTATCTGGCAACTCTAAGACTAAATTTATAAGGGTAAGGGTTTATTAATGTTTTATCTGTTTTGTTCAGAGGTCTATCTTCAGAATCTGAAAAAATGTCTGGTACAGAAAAGCAGCTTAATAAACAGGCACTAAATGAACAGATGAGTACTATCCTCTTACCACCTTACTTGGCTTTTTCATAACCAGACTAATAATGGCCTGTAATTGCTCTACACAGTAACTGAAATTCCTTTCATTTCTAAATCATCTAAGATACTCTGAAGAAAAGTCTTGGACTCTCGATTTCTTTTTTTACTGATAGCAAACACATCTTTGTATGATGCTTGGTGTTATTATAGGTTTCACAACCTGCAATTTCTATTATGATTTTGGGAAAGGGAGCTGTGCAACACCAACCCCAGCAGATGACAGTTGGGCTCAAAATAGGTAATTCATGAGAAATGTAAAACACACCTGAACTGAAGCAAGAAAGCAATTCAGGAAGGAGACATGAGAAGAGGTTGAGTAACTTACGTGGAGATTCGCTGTTTTCACAGGCTTCACCTTCATTGGATGCCTCTGCTTCCTCCTCTTCCTCTTCGGGGTCATCGGTATCTCCTGACTCATCACTGTCTTCCACCCATTTTCCGGGCATCAGTCCTGCTGAGTCATAGGAGTTGCACAGGGGCCCCACAATGTGTGAGATGAAGGATTCCTGCAGATTGGCCAACTGGGGGGCAGAACGGTCCATGAAGGGGCTAATGGGCAACCCGAGGCTGGCCTCTTCATCACCCTAGGGATAGGAATTTAGCATGAACGGTTAGCTTGGAAAGGTAAAACACAAGGGGAGTTTGAAATACAAGGAAAGCCAACACTGTCCACCTGGCATCTAAAATGTGTAGAAATCTAAGAACCCAAGCATTCACGTGGAAACAGCTTCTTTACTGCACTGCTAAGAGTTTCAATCAAGAATATTATAATTCTTAAAGCTCTGTTGCAATTTACTACTTTTGTGATCTTGAGAGTTTTGGCTTCTTGCCAAGGAGAAATACAAGAGGTTTGACGTTTCACTAGATACTTCGTATCATATCAGCTAGTGTTCCTTAATCTGATAATATAAATGCACCTTAACATGCAATGCTAGGTATAATAATCTAACAAATACATAATTTGTTATGCTTTATTTTGTGCATGGGGTTCTAGAAAACTTCAAGCACTTTTATTGACCAGTTCGAGTTGCCATTCTGTTTCAACATGTCTTCTGTAATTATGTGGTTTCTGAAAGTCATGTTTATGCATATATATTTAATATGCATATTGTTACGATATATGTACTTATTTTGAAGACTTCAAATCCTTCTGGGAAAAAATGACAGATCATAAACCAGAAGTTACTCAGCAAAATTAACTAGGGAAATATTCCAAAATATCAACAATATTTATGCCTATGAAATTGTTATTAATGTTGTTATAAATGGATTTTCCTTTTAATTTATTTTTTAAGCATTTAAATATTTCAGGATTGACACTGAATGAATCCTATTCTTGGTATAGGCAATACATTTTTTTTTTTTTTGTAATTAACCAGGGTCAGCGTTGTGGCATAATGGGTTAAGCTGCTGCCTGCGACACCAGCATCTCATATGGATGCCAGTCCATGTCCTGGCTGCTCCATTTCCAATCCAGCAGGGAGCTCTGAAGCTTCAGACTCCCAGTGATTTCCAAACATTATAGCCTTGCTTTCCTTAATTTCTGTAATGGAAAATGCTTTAGAGGAAGATTTTATACCAGGCTTCCAGTTACACTAGGAGTCAAGATCAGCAAGGATTTTCTTTTGTCCAACTGGTTGTTGAGAAGTTTCAAAAAACCATTTTTCTAGCTGTGGTCTTCTCAAACATATCTTCTGCACCTACGTCACACATTTTAATAAGGCATTTTCAAGACTGTTGGTCACTTCAATTTATCTGGGGCTGGTACATGAGCCTAAGTATTATTCAGATTTTATATCACTAATCCAATATTTTTTTCTTGCTAAACATGAAGATGCTGATTTTGTATGAATGCATTACTTTGGATGTGAGAAGGAAGAAAATGCCAATTATGTGTTTTCCTGTTTCTGCACCAATTCTGGAAAAATATAAGATTCTTCATTTTTTAACATGGTTTTGGGGATCAATTGTATGTCCATTCAGGGAAGATTAATTTAGGCAATCAATTTAATTTAACAGAAGAAATATTCCATGTCATACAGAATACTATATATCATTTTTACCAGATATTTTACAAATGCCTCACCTCATCCTGTATGTAATCAATAACAATGTATTACTTTAAAGTTTAGAAAGACACAGCAATCAATATAGAATATATTTAAGCCCTTCAAAAAAAAAAGAAGGCCCTGGGAAAAGCAGCAGAAGATGGCCCACGTGCTTGGGTCCTTGCCACTAATGTGGGCGACCCAGATGAAGCTCCTGGCCCCTGGCTTCAGCCTGGCTCAGCTCTGGCCACTGTAGCCACTTGCAGATCAAAGATCTCTCTATGCGTCTCCCCACTTTCTCTGTAACCCTGACTTTCCAATAAATAAATAAATCTTTTTTGTAAAAAAAAAAAGCAAGCAAAAATATAAAACAAAGTGATCATACTTTTACAGGGTTTGGGGGCTTTGATGAATTTACAAGCAAATTGAAAGTACAGATTATGAGATTTAAACAGTTAATTACCTGTTCATAAAACTCATTAACAATACCCTCTGTCCACTGAAGATGGAGCTCTTTACATTTAGCTGGTCCATTAATGTCCGCCAACTTAATGCACATTTGACAGACCAGTAGACGATCATTTTCATTGGTCCAGTCTATTCCGACTTCATCATTTACCTGTATGAAGGGTAAAGTTTAAACTGTGTTTTGCGGGGTCTGGCACTGTGGGGTAGTTGCTAAAGCCTCTGCCTGTGGCACTGGCATCCCACATAGGCACTGAGTCCTGGCTGCTTCACTTCCAACCCAGCTCCCTGCTAATGCATCTGGGAAAGTAGCAGAAAAGAGCCTGTGCTTGGGCCCCTGCACCCACGTGGGAGACCTGGAAGAAGCTCCTGGCTCCTGGCTTCAGATCCGCCCAGCTCCGGCCTTTGCGGCCATTTGGGGAGTAAAACGGCACATGGAATACCTCTCTCTCTGTCTCTGTCTCTGTCTCTCTCTGTAACTCTGCCATTCAAATACATAAGTCTTTAAATAAATAAATGTGTTTTGCCTCAGTTGAAGTACAATGAAAAAATATTGTCTTGCTACTATGTGGAGATCAGAACATCAAACAATCAGGAACTTCTCAGCTTTGTAAAATACGATTGATGGCTTACAGAAATTAATAGTAAAATAGTTCAGTAAAAAGTGAAATAATTAATATTTAATAATTCTTAATTGTGGTATTGATAGTACTATTTATCAATTACTACATAGTATAGCTCCAAAGGATAAGAAATTTTCTTGATTTAACATTCACATTTGGCATATGGAATTTTGCTTCAAGTTTGTGACCTGACTACTGACAGATAGTTTGCATCTGTATACCAGACAAATGAGAAAAATCAAGTCAAACCCAACAAAAAAAACCCTCAATAATAGTTAAAATTCATTGTTGTTCCTGTAGAGTGAAGTATAATGTAAACAGCACTCCATTTTCTTAGGTATCTAGATTTGGATCAATAACTTTATGTCTGCTTCTTGCAAAATATTTTACTGTACTTCAATTTTCACATTTGGCAGATACAAGTTGACAGCCATGAGTCTTGTTCAGCTCTTAGTTCCCCGACATTTTTCATTGTGACCATAAAAAGGAAGACTGGTACAAATCTAGTTACCTTGGCATTAAACTTGGCTACGAAGTCAAAGTGTTTCTTCAGGTCAGTGGCCAATATTGCTTCGATGACAAGGAAACGGAAGTGCTTAAATTCCACATGGTCAAGGTTAACCAAGAAGTTGTATTCTGGCCGGGACATGAAAAGATTCCACGCAGCCGCTGCGTGATGATTCTCCAAAACTGAACGATCATTATACAGCACTGCCTAGACAAAGAAGAGAATTAAAAGTCCAACTTGTTAATTTAAAAAATAATCAAAAATAAATGAGAATATGCAATGATTTTGAAATAACTCCTTTTTTAACTGGGACAAATATATAATTTTGTGATGACTCATTATTAAGAAAAACTTATTGCTGTCCACTGACTGTAGATTATGTTCCTCAGTTAAGTTTTCTTCTTTGGTAAGTGAGGAGTACTCACCTATGTTAACAGATTTAGCTTTTCCTTAAATTTTTTTTTTTTTATATTTCTATTCAAGACATGGGAACTTAAACATTTTTTTAAAAAGCAAATATACCAATATCCTTAAGCAGTGACTTGGTTATTTTCCATATGTGGCATAAGAATTGTCTTTCATTAAACACATATGACTATTAAATAGGAATGGATCCCTAGAGGACCACAATCCAAAACATCCTTACCTAATAATCAGCTATAGGAAACATAAGGTGGCTTCCAAGAGTTCATAGGAAACAGAATTCAAAGGTAAGTTTATTTTTGGTGCAAATTTTTTTTTTTTGAAATCCACACACATGAGGAGTCCTCATAATGTCTATGGAAATGTGTACCATGAAAAAACTGCACAGATGTAAAAAACAACTATCTTTTAATTCTATTTTCCCACAAAATCTTGGAAGAACCCCTGTATCATCTGAAGATGCTTCTTTTTTGAATCTCTTTAACAATGCTGAGGAAGCTGATTAATAGGAAAAAAAAAAAGAGCAAATTGCCTAGAAAATGGCTGAAGATTGTCCAAAGGAGACTATAAAGGGCAAAAAAGGTTCCAGGACGAACTTGAAAGACAATGCACAGGAATGTTACTACTGAGCTAAGTAAAATGGTGGACAGGGTAGGAAAATCCAGATGGTGAACTGTCTTTAGGGAACATATTTTAGCTTTCATTAGGGAAAATAATTCTAGTGTAAGAAGGATGGGCAGCAAGAAGATAAAGGAGTTGGGGGAAAACTGTACATTTTTGTTCAATACAGAATTGAAGAAAATCACAGCAGAGTCCATAGAGAGGTTGTGGAAACGGATGGGAATAGGATAAAAGACAAATGGCAAACGAACAAAAAGAGCAAATATGGGACCACATTGCCCTCTAGATGACCTGGAAAGGAGAGAGAATCCCAGGATGTTCAGTCACCTGGGTCCAGCTGATTCAAGCAAGAGGAAGCTGACCGAGTTTCTTTTTAGAAATGGAGATGCCTAGGTATTCAGTGATTTTTCAACTTAGACATAAATACAAGGATACTTCCAAAAGTTCATAGAGAAACTGAAATGAAAGGTAAATCTATTTTGTAGTCCACAATTTGTGGAACCATACATAGGTTTTTCATAATATGCATGTTGCCTAAACTTTTTCAGGCCCTCTCCTAGATACAATCAAGCTCCCATAAAGTTATTGTTTTACAATCCATGTTAAGTAAAAATCTACCCTCAAATGGACAAAAGTTCATTCTTCACCTCCTGCAAACCATACGATATGCCAGAGGGATCATATTTGTTGTACTGAAAATACTTCAAAGGAACGACACTTCTACACAAAGAAGACTTACATTCTTAAAAGTCAGGCTTTGGTTCTCAGATCTTTTCATAAATAAACTTCTTTATAAGTCACCTTTTCTTTGTTGAGAAGATTCATTACCGGGAATTCAAGTACACTTTCTTCCTGAGAAGGGTTCCCTACGGGCAGTAAAACTGTACACCTGCCATTAACTCCTTGGGACAAACCATGGATCTTTTCAGAATTAGCATGTTCTTTAGGAATTTTATTCTAGAGCTAAATACAATTTGTTTTATGCTTCCTTGTTGTCCATGATGACTCAGATTTATCAAATTAATTTTTCAGTGACATGTCTAAGCTGAATTATTTCTGCGAATCAAAACCTGAAGATTTACCTGAGGAGCACTTGTTGCAACCAGGAAGGCATTAGTCCTTCCTGGGTGATCGTAGTCATGCATGGCTGCAGCCACGTAGAGAGCCATCAGTTCTAAGGCGGGGATATTCCCAGACAGGCATCCATATCTGTCATCGGGTACATTGTACATTTTTGAGAATACATAGCCCATATGTCCATGTGTAAATCCACTGTCAGAATCTGAGAAGAGAAAGAGAAAGCAAGGGCAACTTTTAAAAAGCACGAAACTGATGTCATTTGTCTTGATTTCTTAACCAACCAAACAACAACAACATCAAGGACCATCTTGTTCCCCTCTTTCACAAGGGAGCGCACAGAGGGACTTAACACATACCCGAGTCACTTGCTGATCCATGATCGTTAATCACAGTGGAGAGACCTGGAATAGGCTGTGTTGTGAGATACCAAACGGCATGCAAGACATCAGTGGCATGGACTCTGTTATGATCTGTAAGCAATGCAGAGGAAGTCATCGATTTGTGAACTCTGGGGACCAAGGATGAAGAGTGCCATCTACTGGATAAACATTTTAGGCCTAACATTTAACTCCAGTAAAAGCCAGACAAACGTTTCCAGGACAAATACTCTTATTACTCTTCCATAACTCCAAAATATCCACCATGACAAGAAAAAAATAACATTCACAGCACCCATTACGCAAGCAAATATCTGAAATGGAAAATTCTATATCCTGAGTCTACCAGAAACCTGTGTATTTAGGAAATTCACTATGTAAAATAATGTATTTTCCTCCTGTACTTATTTTCATGCTCCTGTATAAAACCATGCTGAGAACCAAAATAAAAGTGATGATACACCTCAATAAGATCTGATCAATGAGCTAATATTTCATTCTGACAAATGGCACCCAAATATTCTCTGTGAATAAGACACAGTACTATTCTTCTGTATTAATGTTAAAACACTGCGCTAAAAAATGAATGGTGCACCTTTTTTATGTAGATCAAACACACAAAGCAAAATTCAAGGCTAAAATCAGTTATGTTCTTGAATCAACACATTCTAATTTGAGAATACCTTAAACAAAAGACAAAAAGACTTCCTTGTATAATAATGAACATTTATAAGAGTAAGAACTACAGAAAACTCAAATACACTGGTCATGAAGTCATTATCAGGGCAGGTCACTTCTACACAGCAGCTGAGCTTCTTTTGATCATAACCAAGTGTCCAGAGTGCTGCTGGCTCCCCTCCTTTTCCTGGCTAAACTCTTCCATGATTTTTCTTGTTTGTCTGCCCCTCTTGTAATAACCCTTCACTGCTTGCGAAGATTTATCATAAAAGTTCTAACTTTACACATTTCCCATGATGCTAATTCCTTTATAATTTATATGGTTGAATAATAAATACTCTACAGGTAGAGAAGTGAGAAACAGAACATGAAGAATGGCAACGGAATATGAGGATAACACCTGCTCCTTGGGCTGTGAAGAAAGAAGAAACCTATGGTATCTGTGACGTTGGTGGCACCCAGGAGGTCTGTAGGTGAATGGTACCGATTTTCCTACATTTCTGGCAACTCTCAGGAGTCCATCACTAAATGATGACACATAAATAAATCTTGGGTAAATACTCCAGCAAATCAGTAGAGGGGCATGCATGAGTAATGGGTTTCAGAAGATATCAACAGAAGATCTTTGAGAAACAGATCCCCTAGGCTCCCAAGAAAAAAACAACAAAATCTGTACAATTATGTCTAGCAACAGAGATGAAATCTCGTGTTGTGTAGTCTTCATAAAGCTGATTTTTTTTTAAACACTAGAGTCTATGAGGCTGGAGCTGTGGCACAGCTGGTTAACACCCTGGCCTGAAACACAGGCATCCCACATGGGTGCTGGTTCGAGAACCAGCTGCTCCACTTTCAGTTCAGTTCTCTGCTGTGGCCTGGGAAAGCAGCGGAGGACGGCCCAAGTGCACTCACGTGGGAGACCCAGAAGAAGCTCCTGGCTCCTGGCTTCAGATCGGCACAACTCTGGCCATTGCAACCAACTGGGGAGCGAACCAGCAGATAGAAGACCTCTCTGTCTGTCTCTCTCTCTCCCTCTTTTTCTCCCTCTCTGCCTCTCCTCTCTCTGTGTAACGCTGACCTTCAAATAAATAAAAAAATCTTAAAAAAAAAGACTGGAGTCTATTTCCCCAATACAGCTCATGTTTAGTGATACACACTCATTACATTTACAGATTTTTACACACAAGAAACTTAGAATTACTTTCTACATCTATACCTGTGCCATGTACAAAGTTGATCACTTAGGAATTTTCTAGATTTGGACAAATTTTCTTTTAACTCTGCTCTGATGCTTATTATTCATGTTTTCTTGGGTGACTTAAAAACTCATTTCCTTCGCCTAAAATGCGATAAAGTTTCCTTTCCTTATCTTAAAAATATGCGGACAGTAATAGGGCTAATTTGATAGTACAATTGCCAGAATTACAGAAGTGAATAGATTTTCAAGTGTCTGATACACAGGGTAAGCTTACAATTAATGTAAATTATGAGTGTAATTCACGTAAAATAAGATGTTGCTGTAGAACAAGATGTTCAATGAGCACTGATCACCTGACTTTATTGTATTATGCTGGAGTTGTAAGAATAGGACTGAAGAATCAGTAAGCCCTTGAGGAGGTAGAAGGCAGCAATGATGTGGTACAGGAAGAGAGTGGTGGTCGGGGAGAGGGTGCCACTTGGGGTGGGAATGAACTTTCCTCCGTGGCAAGCTGTCAAGATGACTATATGCAAGTAATTACCATTAGTACTCCAAGTCAGAATGAGCCCAGAAATACAAGGGTGGATGGGGACATACCAGAGGGATGGCAAGACCTGTTGGAGGTGAGGAACAGACAACGTTAATCACAAGCACACTTGCAGCTCTTAAGCTGTACTGTTCTCTGCCCTCTCCCCAGTCCCAAAGGCCAGCTCCAGAAGACCTTGTAGGCAGTATTTACAAACTTCCAATGAACAATCCTATCCAAACAATTTAATGCTGAAAATACAGAAAGAAGTGTCCAACTCATTTAATGAGGCCTGTATAATTTTTATTTAAAAATGTGGTAAAGATGGCATGGTATGCGTAAGACAAGTTCCTTTTGCTTTTGAATATAAGTTCAAAAGTACTAAGTAACACAAGTGTTATTCAAAGTTAACTGCTTATTTAAATATGCATGTCTAGTTCTGTGTGTGCATGTCTAGAAGAAGTACGTTGTTACCAATCCTCTAGGCAGAATGGAAAACCAGTGTGCCTTGTCAGTAGCCAGTAAAATGTTTATTAAACAAATATTTACATATTGTCTGCTACATGCAAGCATTATGCCAAGTGTTGATACCTCTGTTGCTTTTGCCATTAGCTGTGTAGTGATCCAGCTCAGGGACAAGCCAACCAGGAAAGTATCTATCTACTTCAATGTCAGGTACTGGCAGGTTTCTATACTATATGTAAACAGTCTCAAGGATTCTTTTTCTTGTTTTGGCTATTGGAAGCCACTAGGAGGAATAAGAAATGATTTCAGAGGTATCTGTACTTTATCCCTGTTATTATCATCCCTCTTATCTCTGCACAATGAACTAACCACCATCCATCGTTATTCTATCTCCCACGCAGCCAACCTCCCTCAATGACACACAACACCCATGTACTCACTCCCATGTGACACACCCTGCCTCTTCCCCAGTGCCTGCCCCTTCTCTCTTCTCTATGGATGCACTTAGTTTCTCAACGTTCTCCTTCTCCCTCAAAGCACTGAGCTGAAGTGAGTTGCTGTAGAGGCTTAGAATTGCGTATCAAGTTTATAGACTTTTTAGACTCAAATTTCTAGCTTTTTATTAAATTTCTGCTTCTATTCCTATGCCCAATATGATGGAGGAAAACAATGAAGAAGGCAAACAATACTTTAAACATGTTCTTTTTCTTTTAGGATATACCTAATATAATAGTGCTAGTCCCTCTAGCTAGTATTGGGTCACCTGAGTATCTAGTTCTGAAATGGGAGAACACATCAGACAAAGCTTCACTGGACTAAACATGGCTGACCAGCAATGTTCCCATTTCTGTCACTAAGCAGCTACATGATGATAGGCTTTTCTGTGGCATTGTCCCCATTACTCAAACAGGAACAGTGATGAGCGCTGGCTTTTACTTTACAAATGGGAGTCCTTGAAATTACAAAAAGCATTCTCAAAAAACTTGACATGTATGAATGAATATGACCAGATGATTATCTTCTTTATTAACCAAAATGTCCAACTGAAAGGGACTAGAACACTATTATGCGTTTATCTCTTGGGGTAGGTGTTTGCCACAGAGGTTGAGCCACTGACTGGGATGCCCACATCCCACATCTAAGTGGCTTTGACTCTTGGCTCTGCTCACAACCCGAGCTTTCTGACAACATGCACCCTGGGAGGCGGCAGATGAAGGCTCAAGGTTGTGGGTCCTACCATCTATGTGAGACCCAGATTGAGCTCACAGCTCCTGGCTTTAGTCTAACCCAGCTGTAGTGGGCACTTGGGGAGTGAGACAGCTGATGAAACTCTCTGTCTTCCTTTCAAACAAAATTTTAAAATAAAAAAAAATTAAAAATTAAACACTATTAAAAACCACATTTATCTCCTTGTGCAATTATTAATCACATCTTAACTTGTGCTAGCCCATAATGAAAAATCTATTTTATCACATTTCTATCAGAGAAGTGCCTATATTTATTACCTTATCCTACTCTGTGAAATTTCTCTTTTTGCCTGCCTTTCTTTCTAAATCCATATTCTTCAACTTTTATTCAGAGTCTTGATCATAAATTTTTCTACTTTTTCTCTTCCTTGAAAATTGTTAAAGATGTTCTTAGAACAAAGACAAAAACATAATTTCTAATGTTTTAGCCAATTGTCATGGTAATGTTAGTCTAACTCCATTTTCTTAGGTTCTTAGCCTTTTCCAAATTCATCATGGATTTATTTTAAAGAGTCACTAGAAATATAACTTTAAGGAATAAGTGTTAAAATAAGTAGACGTATCATACATTTTTCATACATGTCAATTATAGTAATATACAAATCTTTCAATAAATAACCATGTTCATTTGAATTCATAACCTCAGCACATAGGAGGTATGATTATTTAAAAGCGACCATGTTGAAGCTAACATTTTCTTGTGAGAAGGTGTAAATAAATGGAAAGTGCCTAGGACTTCTAACAGAACAACCAGGATGACTGCAACAAATTCATTACAATGGAATGAAGAACTAATGAAAAAACCTCTACTCACTTGTAACATATAAAACTGTAATAAGGAAATATAAAAATGAATAACTTCAGAAACCTTTTAAAATGCTCAAATGTTGATCATCTTTTACTATGATTTAATGATAAACTCCCCAGAGAAAAGTTCCCCATTATGACTTGGAGGGTAGTAGTAATTTGAACTCACTGGATTGAGCTATGGCTGATGATATCACTAAAATATGAAGATTACCCAAAAGTTCATGGAAAAATAAAATTAAGAGATAAATTTGGGTGTAAAATGTTCATAGTTTTTCGTAAGATAATTTTCCATGAAATTTTTGAAGATCCTTGGTCCATATTTGAAAATATCACATTAATTCAGAAATTCAGTCTTATGCCTGGCCGGTTTCAGTGTTTTCAACAGCTTCCTTTCTGTACCAGTTTATTTATGTAACTCTTTAACCTCTGAGAAATCACTAACACTTTATATCAATTGCTGGCATCCAACCAGAGTGAGCCCTGGGAAATTTGTATTAAGAAAGCAAGGCTTATCTTGAGATTCTTTGAAACCATCCACTTTTCATACTTCTATTCTAACTTCTGTGGCCTCGTCAGCCAACCTTTCCCAAGCGGCCTCCCTCTCCCCGACTCCAGCTGTCCCAAATCTCATTTGCAGATTCAATTCTTCATTCTTCTTCCTATGCCGCACTTATCAGCCGTGCATTTTTATTCCCATGCAGTAAGTAAATGACATTTTGGGAAACATTATGTTAACAATATTAATCACAAGCTTAAGTGCCTCTTTCTGAAACTACTTCAGCTTTTTCTAGGCCCACATTTTTAAAATTTAACGTCAGCTCTTTGTAAATACAAACAGACCTGGGATTCTGAAGTCCGAGGTGTATAAAAGCAAATGTAAAACTTAAAAGCGAAAACATGATGTTGACAACATACTTCTATGACACACTGCAACTAATACATCATATGTTAATCATTTTTCTGGCCATGTGTTATGCCCTAGAATTATCACATGATTTCTATGCACCTCCCTGGTTGGACCTATGAGTACTAGTTATGTGACATTTTCTTCAGTCCTATTATGTTGGAGCATTATAGGACAAGTCTACTGATGTGATCTGAAGATACTTGAAATGCTGCAGAATTTTCCGGTTTCCCATTATTATCCATGGCAAAATCAATGTATCCTCTGATACTCAAAGCTTGAATGCTGGCCTGTGGCCTCTCCTTTGGTTTTTACATTTATCTCTTTAGCAACATGTTTCTAATTATTTTCCCATAACCACTTCCAGATGTCTCTTCATTTCTATTTTATCAGTTAGACCACCACTCTCCCGTTCCTCTACATGCCAAATAGATTTATCTTATTTGGGCTGAGAGAATGTTTAGTATTTTGTAGTTTAACTCTTCACAGATAACATAAATTAAATTTACCCAATTAAAGTGGCAGATTATTAAATGACCAGTTAGTTAATTACAAGACATTTAGTTTGGACTTACTGTATGCCAGGCAGTATTATAACATCTTTAAAATTATTATTTCACTTGATCCTCACAATTCCACAAAGCATATATTATGACCCCCATTTTAAGAATGAAGAAATGAGCTCTATAGAGGTCTCACACCCACCTTATAAGAGACAGTTCTAATACAGGTATCTCCTAATCATGTGTGGCCACACTGAGCATCTAGAATGTGTAATTCTATGCTGTCTAGTAATGACTTAATATCCTATTTCCATTGCAAATTCAACAGATTTTAAAATATTCTTGCACAAATTACTGATACTTACAAGGAATATCCCTATAGCCAATCTCCAAAGCATGAAAATAATTCATAAATTCCCTAACAGGAATTTTAAAAGCTTCAAAGAGGCCCATGTCTTCAAAGAGTCTGTACGATACCTGTAAAAGAGTAAGACAAACCCTTACGAAAGATCCTTCTGTGAGTGCTAGATCCAAAGGGAACAACGGGCAAAGGGTGCATCCCAAGAACTGTATTAATTCACCATCAGTGGAGACAAAGGGGAGAAGAGGTCAGGGACATGTGGGAGATATTTGTGTGCTTCTCTGTGAATCAGGACAGGAGTAAAATATGTTAGGGATTGGGTTGGTGTGCATGGTATGTCAGGGGGTAGTCTTGGAGGCAGATGCACCATGGAAGGACTCTTCCTCTGAGTGTAAGGTACCACTGGAGAGACAGGAGCATGGAAATAACTTTGTCTTATTTATGAAAAGAACCTCCTGGCCGCCAGTTGTGAAATAGATGATTGTATAATATCTTCACCTCAGCTTCAATGAACTTTTCTTCACTGTGGTTAGCAAACATATTAAGTTCTCCTCTTTATCTGTGTAAGAATGAATCCCCATCTCTCCTCTTCAAAAATGCAACAGAAAATAAAGTTTATAGGATCCGTCATATTATTTTCTAAGCAATTTCTTTTTCTAGCTATGGCTTTCCTACTATTGCTTTAGGCTACATTTGAATTCTTGTTTTTAAGTACATAAGTACAGGGCATATTACTTCAACAATAACAAAAATGAGAGTTACTGCATACATGAAAACACACACACACAAAGCATTAAATGAGATGCTTCCTCGTGTGTGCGTGTGTGCATGTGTGTAGTTCATATATGGGATAGCACTTATGAGATGGGTATTTTTCAATATGAATATTTAAAAGAAGAGGAATTTGAAGCACCAGAAAGTTTAAATATACACAACTGGTATATATTAGAGCCAGAATTTAAGCCAAGCATATGGTGGTTTCTGATTTTATACTATTAACTGGTTCAAGTCCTACTATTCCTATATGAAAACCAATATTGATAGGAGAGCAAATAGCTCAAGTTTCCTGTGAAACCAAGGGAACAAGATATTTTAGGATATGATTTTAAAGCAAGGGAATTTTCATCAAGATGCTGTTAAAATTAACTACCAATAATTTTACATATGTGATTCAACCCATAAATAAACAAAAGGCATGTTTAAGTGGATAAATATTGGTAACTGCAAACAGTAAGCCCTAATTCAAAATTAGAAGGATGTTCTTTTAAATTTGTTAAAATAAGCATGATAATTATCAAGAGGCAGGCAGTACATTCAGACTGAGTAGTCATTTCCATTGCATGCATATCTCTTTAAACATCTTTTGAAGTGAGAATTTTCCTGCGAAGTGTCAGCCAAAAGGTGATTTCTTGGAATGTCCATGTTAATTCTTTTCAGCTGTTGTAAAGTCTTGAGTGAGAAAGAGAATGAGAGAGAGAGAGAGAGAAGACAAAAGACCCTTCCTATAATAAAATTTTCATGACTTTCACACTTGTAAACTCAAATCAAATGGCAAAACTCACAGTCCTAGTTAGCAAGGCAAATGAAGCTGCATTTTTTCAGACTTGAATGTTTTGTAAATTTGAAGTACAGAGTGACTAGCAAGCATCACGTGGAACTGTGTTGCCTGTTTATTTTTGAAGGATAACTTGAACAAAAGTATAAGTATTTCAGTGAATTTTGCTGAAGTCTAATTGTGAGTTATTCTCAGTCTGGTCTACTGGTGTCCATATTTCTTACATCACATTTGGTCTCACCTCCCCACCCTGAGCTCAAAGAACTCAAAGGGAACCAGCTACCAACAGTGGTAGTTTGTATGCTGTCACTGGTGCTGTAAGAGCCACTGCTGTAGCAGCCCCATTTTTGCTTGGTCAGGCTTCACATGTGGAGAGTCTGAAGAAATAAGAAGTGAATATGTTCTTTGAGGAATGAAGGAGCAGTAAATGTAAGACACCCAGGCTTCTGATAAGGTGATAGCTACATCTGAATCTGGATCTAATAACGACTATATTTTAGAACAGCTTATCTTCCTTTAAGCCTTGGGTTCTTCTGTAAAACGGGCATTAAAGAAAAGTTCTGGAGAGCCCTGGACATATAGGAGAGTACGTCCCAAAGTTCTTGGGAAAACAAAATCAAAATATAAGTTTATTCTGATGCAAAATTTTGAAATTCATGTAATTTTTTCATGTTGTTCATTTTTCCATGAACATTTTGAAGCCGCCTTGTATATCAAATACAGGACAGAATGAACTTTTTCTCTCCATAGAAAGGAACCACACATTCACTAGTGAAAGATGAAAAAGACAACTTCCTTCCTAGTGCTGTACCTGTGGGACCACTACAGGCCTGTTTCCAGAGAAGATTACCCCAAGAGCGCTAGTCTGTGATGAGTTTTAGAAAATGAGATTCAAAACCTCTCACGAGGATCTCCAAGGTATGAGGCTAAGGTTGAGTGGATAAAATGGCTGTCCCTAAACCTGTACTCAGAGAGAGTATAAAAGGCATCCCTTAGTACTAAGGAGAAAGAGAAGAGGAACAGAACTCCTGAAGTGCAAGGGCTGCTCTTGCATTCCTCAATGTGCTCACAACAAACACATATCATATAGATATAAATCCCATGCGTGTTACATTCAAGCAATAGTCTTGACATAACTTTTTTGTATGCACCCAGTTGAACTGTCATTATTTTGACACATGCCTATTTGCCTAATGGATTAGGAATTCCCTTAGGGCAAGGTCCTAATTCTTTTCCAGAAGGTTAGATTGGTTCTGTTTGTGGAGCTGCATGACAGAATAAGGGCCAGCCCGCTATCTTCTCCTTCCACACCTTCAGTGGCTGGGCTCCTCAGCCTGAAGATCCACACTCAGATATTTGTTGAGAAAATTCACCTCTGATGCATCAAGCGGGAATCAGTATTTCAGGGACTCCTTTTTAACCGCTTTGCAGAACCGTGTCAGGGTTTCCAACAAGCCTACACTGGGTCTTGAAATCTTACCTAAGTGTTGTGTGAACAAGTCTCTTAGTTTCTTGTACCTCTGCTTTGGTTTTTATTTAGAGGACTCAGTTAAACCATTTTAAAACAAGCTGGTAAATATTACTGCTTCATCCCCTTTAATTAAGAGTGTGTATTTTGGTAGATGTTAGATAATACAGCAAATCCATCATCTTGCTTTGTTTTGACTTTTGAAACAAACATCTTCAAATTCTTAATTTCCTTGTGTTTTCTTTCTCCCTCAGCAAAATAAATATGTCTTTAATTGAAAAGCCTTGAAAGTAGTATGATCTAAAGAAAACAATACTCCAAGGTTTGTTATGTAGAAATAGTTTTCATTCTATATTTCTCATAATAAATACAGGTACTCAGCTTTGAAATAAAGAGAACTCAATTTGATGTGCTTCTCACAGTATTAAGGGGAAGATATTTCTGGACAATATGTTATTCATTTTAGAAGATTTGCATATTTATTTGAAAGGCAGAGTTACATACAGGGAGGGAGGAAAGGAGGGAGGGATGGAGAGAGAAAGGGAAGGAGGGAGAGAGGAAGAGAGAAAATCTTTCATCTGCTAGTTCACTTCCCTAGTAGCTGCAAGGGCCAGGGCTGGGCCAAGCTGAAGCCAGGAGCCGGGAACTCTCAACGTCCCATATGAGTGGCAGGGGCCCAAGCTCTTGGGCCATCTTCTGCTGCCTTCCCAGGTGCATTAGCAGGGAACTGGATTGGAAGTGGAGCACCTGAGACTTGAACTATCACCCATAAGGGATGCCAGCATTGCAGGCAGAGGCTTAACTTGCTGCTCCACGATGCTGGCCCCTATTTATTATTTTTTTTTCAATTTATTTATTTGAGAGGCAGAGAGAAACAGAAGGAGAGAGAGAAAGACTGAGAAAGAGAAAGAGAGAACACTCAAGTAAGTTCCTGTTTTCTATTTTCTTCCCAAATGCTGGCGATGATTGGGGTTGGGCCAGGCTGATGCCAAGAGCTGGGAACTCATTCCATGTTTCCCATATGGACAGCAGATTACTTGAGCCATCACTTTCTGCCTCCCTGTGCCCACAACAGCAGAAGAATCAGTGGCTTGAGCCACAGATTGGACCAGAGTGCTCTTATTTGACTGTCTTCACCACTAGGCTAAACACTCTCCCCAATATGTCATTGTTGGTAAGGCCTAAGCATATGACAATATTCAAGTTTAAGAAAGTTGTTGGAAATGACTGCAGACAACATATTAGTTTATAGATAAGCCACTTCCTTTTTGGGGGGGATTGTGTCAGCTTTTCCTTTGCTTAAATCTAAATTACACACATTTGTCTGCCCTGCTTGTGTATCTCTGCCCCTTTATTAAAACAATACATAATATTTTAATTACAGAACATGATATTATACTCACTTGAAGTCCAAATTTCTTTTTTTAACCTGCTAGCTGTGAATCTACAGAATGCTGGGTGTCAAAATTTACTTTCTTCACACAACACCTAGCAACAGATTTCGAGAACACAAAGAACTTCTGTTTCCTACCTTTAAAACCAAATGCATGAATGCACTTCTTTGTTTTTAAAGATTTATTTTTATTTACTTAAAAGGTAGAGTTAAAGAGAGAGAGAGAGAGATAGCAAGGTCTTCCATCTACTGATTCACACCCCAAATGGCCTTAAAGTCCAAGATTGTGCCTGGCTATAGCCAGGAGCCTCTTTTGGGTCTCCCACATAAGTCCAGGGGCCTAAGCACTTGGGTTATCTTTTGCTTCTTTTTCAGGCCATTAACAGGAAGCAGGATCAGAAGTAAAGCAGCCAAGTCTCCAAATGGTACCCATATGGGATGCTAACCCACTATACCACAATGCAGCTCCATGAATGTGTTTCTTACCTGACTAAGAATACGACCACATTTTCTTCCTATGTTTTCCACTAAATCAAAAATTGGAAAGTTCCAGGTATTTAGTTGTTCCATAATTGAGTCCAGGTTATCCATGACAAGAGGTTCAGGAGCAAGGATTGGTTTGTCCTGCAATGAAAATTAAAATATTTTTCTTCCAAGAAATTCATATTTGCTAAGTTTAACTTAACAACTATGGTTACATGAAATAAATGACTGAAAAATTTCAGATGAACTAGTCTTTTTTCTAATGAAAAAAGATGAAAAACCAGACACTGACCCAAAGTAACAAGGAAAACATCGAACACAGCTTCAGACTATGTTGCATTATTAACTGACCAACTATCCTAGGTTCTTATACACTCCAGCAAAAGCACAGATACTTCTTCTTAGCATAACTGCTTCTGAGTCTATTACAAGGATCTTAAACCAAGGTCCAAGGAGTAAAGCATACTGGAAACTACATACATTTATATCTTTTTATGTTTATGTAGAATTTTCTGGGATAGGATCTCTGCCTTATATTGGGACTCTCAAAAGACTTCGTTGGTGGGAAGGGGAACAGCACCACCTTACTCTAACTAATCAAGTTTATATGAATACTACGAAATCAGCATCATGATTTTATGCTGAAAAATGATAACTGTCACAGTTTTCAGGAATAACTGACAGTTGTTTTGTGATCTGCTGTTTCCTGAGAAACACACACCAATATAAAGACACTTTACAACTGGTCCCATAGGAGGATATTCTTAAGAGTCCATTCACAACAACAGCAAAAACAATGATAAAACATAACAAGGATAAGTAAGCAAATAAATTCTTTTACTTGATAATCTCATTTAAAAATACAAAAGGTAAATAAATTAAAAGAACAAGGGTAATAGCAGCAACAGATAATCACATTATAACTATTTTCTACCATCCACTCCTTCCTTCTAATTAATGTGATTCAAACTTATGTTTCTTTTTTCTTTAAACACATAAAATAAGTCATCTTTAAAGGGTATTTTAATAGGCAGTTAAGTGTCAAAGAAACCTGGTTGAATATAACCAGGAAAAAAATACGGGCTCATTTTCTAAATTAAGAAGATACTGGTCAGAGCCGCCATCTTGTGGGAGGGCAACCAACGCCTGGCTCCGAGCAGCTGCCGCCGAGGTCTCTGGCTGTTGTAGCTTCCACGTGTGCACGACCATGGGGAATATCTTTGCAAACCTCTTCAAAGGCCTTTTTGGCAAAAAGGAAATGCACATTCTGATGGTGGGCCTGGATGCTGCAGGGAAGACGAGGATTCTGCACAAGCTGAAGCTCGGTGAGATCGTGCCCACCATCCCCACCATAGGTTTCAACGTGGAGACTGTTGAATACAAGAACATCAGCTTCACCGTGTGGGACGTGGGTGGCCAGGACAAGATTCGGCCACTGTGGCGCCACTACTTCCAGAACACCCAAGGCTTGATCTTTGTGGTGGATAGCAATGACAGAGAGCGAGTGAACGAGGCCCGGGAGGAGCTCATGAGGATGCTGGCTGAGGATGAGCTGCGAGACGCAGTCCTCCTGGTGTTTGCCAACAAGCAGGACCTCCCAAATGCAATGAACGCAGCTGAAATCACAGACAAGCTGGGGCTGCACTCCCTACGCCACAGGAACTGGTACATTCAGGCCACCTGTGCCACCAACGGGGACGGGCTCTATGAAGGACTGGACTGGCTGTCCAATCAGCTCCGGAACCAGAAGTGAATGAGAATCCCCCTTCCCCACCTCCTCCTCTCCACCCTCTGCTTTCCTCTCATGTGGCAAACGTGCGACTCTGTGGTCCTGAGTGCCAGAAGCTGTCTCCATGGGTGGGTCACAGTGTGCATCGCACCCTGCTATCCCTGTGCAGACGCAGCCTGCAGCCAGGTTCTTATTTAATGTAAATAGTTTCTGTTTCCACTGAGGCAGTTTGTGGTACTCCTATGCAATATTACTCAGCTTTTTTTTTTTTTTTTATTGTAAAAAAAAAATCAACTCACTGTTTAGTACTGAGAAGGGATTTGGGCACATTGACACCTGCCCTCCAGGAGTCCGTGGCTGTGTTAAGAGCTAGATGTACCTCTGGGTGTTAGATCTGCTGAGATCCATTTAGTGGTTGGTTTTAATCCGAACTCAGTGCATTTTTAAAAACAGCTTAAAATACAAGATGAGAACACTTGAACTTACAGCAGGGAGACTGCCTAGTGTGGGGTTTGCAGTAACAGCCCGAGTGCTGGTCCATTGGATCGTCTGCTCCCCTTTGGGGACAAAACCACCCCATGATGCACTCTGTATGGCTGTCTCTGGGTCACCCTGCATTCCATAGCCTTGTGCTTGTGCTCCTGCTCACATGGTCACCTGGGGGAGGGGGCTGGGAGGCCAGGGCGTCTAACTTTTCCCTCAGGCCCCCCTTGATGAAGCACGCGGCCAGAGTAGGAGCCTGTCGTTCCTGGCACCCACTCGCTCACGCACTTGCTCAGACACGTTGGCGGGATGTGTGGGGTCTCACCAGCAGGAGCGCGTGCAAGCTGAGAGGGTTGGCCCGTTCTACAGCCACAGCCCCCGGAAGCACCCCCACCTCCATGTGTGAAGTAGCTTTCTCTCCCTCAGCCTGCAAGGGTCCGATTTGCCATCGAAAAAGACCTCTACTTTTTTTCTTTTGTATTTTGATAAACACTGAAGAAGCTGGAGCTGTTAAATTTATCTTGGGGAAAACCTCAGAACTGTTTTATTTGGTGTCGTGGAACCTCTTACTGCTTTCAATACACGATTAGTGATCAACTGTTTTGTATACTTGTTTTCAGTTTTCATTTCGACAAGCACTGTAATTATAGCTATTAGAAATAAAATCTCTTAACTATTAAAAAAAAAAAAGAAGATACTAAGAAAAACCAGCAGACGTCCTAAAACTACAACTTCCCCCACCATTCTTTTTGCATTTTTTCTATTATTATCAAATACTGTTTTGCTGCATGACATAATTCATTTTTCTTATGCATATTCCTCCCTTTTGTGGGGGTTAAGAAATATGTACAGATATTTGTAAGAAATGAAAAGTCATTTGCTAAGACATATGTGTAGTCAATTTGCTGTCAATCACCACATAACAGGACCATTACAAGATCAGGAAGGAAAACTGTATTGATGGGGCAGTGCCCCAACTCATGTGTGATCCAAGTGAGTGCCCCAACTCATGTGTGATCCAAGTGAGATATGCCTGTAAATTTAATGACTCAGGGATCCACTTCCAAGCCAGCCTTGATAGTAGGAGCCTGTCTCTCAATACACACACGAGTTAAGTGACGGGGGCCTACCAGGAACAGCATGGTCTCAGCAGTGTAGGTGCTGCAGCCCGACACTTTCCTCAGAGGCTGTCTGGAGCACTCGGCCTCGTCTTCATTCTGTACAATGTCGCTGCTGTCACTGTTGTTATTGGTTTCATAGTCAGAGGTAACCTGAGCAGTATCATCTGCAATTGAAAGAGACCAGCTTATCATGAGACCTGCAACAGTTTGGAAAGGATTCTCATTTATACAAACTGTCCTAAAATTTACCACTACGTGGTAAATACAGTATTTAGGCAATATCTCTTTCCTGAGCTTACACACCAAGAACATCGGGCTGTAAGAAGAAAAAAGTGCAGTTTTTCCTCACCCAAAAAAATAGGTGAGAGTTATGATCTGTGATTTCTGGGACATTCAACAATTTCTCAGTAATAATGTTTAGATCAGCAGTTCATACTCTGAAAAAAATATGACTTTATGTATCTTTTCCTGTTATCCCTGCCCCAAACCATTCAGAAAATGCCAGCTTTGGATGGGCACATAGATTGGGAGAAATTGCGTTGACACAGCTAGGAAAAAAGTGATCTGTGGCATTCAGAGAGATGGCCCATGCTAAGGAGCATGTGGGATCCTATGTACCCAGTCTTGCTCCTTAGGGGTCTGTGGCTTCCTTCCTTGCCTGTTCTCTTCACTCTATCGCATTTCAGTTGGCAGAAAACTGTGCTAAGTGAGGGCCAATCAGAAAACTCCAACTGTCTGGAGTACACTTGCTCCTGGGACAAAGACATCAAGAAATTTCTCAGAGCTGAACAAAGTACCTTCAGGAGGTGTACTGAGTACTTGCTATGATGCGGGTACTACTTAAGGCATTTTATTTGTATGTTCACATTTAATCCTCTCTACAATCCTGTGAAGCAGGATTATTATTACTATTAATTATTATTGCACTATCATCTTCACTTAACAGACGTCAAGCTGAGGCATAGAAGGGATTAGTACATTGCCCAGTGTAAACAGCCAGGTAATCTGCCGTGAGAACTGGAACTCAAGAAATCTGACTCTAGCTTCTTAACTCTATTTTGATGAAGCCTTTTAAAAAAAAAAAAAAAACTATTATTATTGTGTTCCATGACTTACAAAATCAATGTGTTCTCCAAAGTCACAAAGATATTTTCTGTTTTCTTCTAGAAGCTTTATCAGTATAGTGCTTACATTTAGTTCCATCTCATGACAATGTTTTTGCATGACTGAGACACAGGGTGAAGTTCATTTTTCTTCAACGCACTGGCAAGACCCACTGGACGGTTGTGGACTTCTGCTGAAAGTCCAATGACTGTGTATGTGTAGGTCTAAGCAGATGCTTGATTGCCACTGGATCCATCTGCTTTTTTTGAGTCAGTATCACACTAGCTTGATTACTGTAACTTAAGTTTTGAAGTAAGATAATACATTTCCACTAACTTTGTTCTGTTCCAAGACTGTTCAGAGAGTGGTTGTTGTATGCCCTAACACAAAAAAAATAAATGATTTTTTGCTATGTTGTTGGTGATAAAATGGTTTTTGTGTGTAGCCTATTCCAATCAGAAATGTCTTCTAAGACTGTTTAGGGATCCACCCTTCTTCCATTTTTTTCTCATGCATCTGCTTGTATATTAAAATTAGATACAGGAAGAAATGTAATTGATAGGCTTCAATTCAGAATCTGATGATAAAGAAGCCACACTTCCAGGCCATGGCTATACATGGAAATGAAATATTTCCATTAATCCATCAGTTTTATCAGAGTTAGAAAGGATCAGGATGCAGAGAAGGGATGTTCTACAATGTTGTGAATCTTGAGACTGCTACAGTATCAGAAAATTCTTTGAGTTATCCTTGCTTATGTCTGCTGTACATGTTGCATAGTATAATATTCTCTTGGGAAAAAAATCAGCCAAGAGTTATCGTGTGTCTTTTGACAAATGCTGGAGCAGAGATTTAAGAATTATTGCTAGGTAGCTCTATCACCCTGTTGTCTAGAGTTGATAGAAGCTTTTTATTTTAACTTGGGCACTTTCTTTTCTTTTTTCTTTTCAAGATTTATTTATTTAAAAGGCAGAGTTACAGAGAGGGATGGAGGGACGGAGAGGGAGAGAGGGAGAGAGGGAGAGAGGGAGAGAGGGAGAGAGGGGGAGAGGGGGAGAGGGGGAGGGGGGGAGAGGGGGGGGGAGAAAGAGAGAGAGAGAAAGAGAGAGAGAGAAATAGAGAGGGAAAGAGAGAGAGAGAGGTCTTCCATCTGCTGGTTCAATCCCCGAATCACTGCAGTGGCTGGAGCTGGGCTGATCTGGAATCAGGAACCTGGAATTTCTTCCAGGTCTCCCATGTGGGTGCAGAGGCCCAAGGACTTTTGGCCATCTTCTACTGATTTCCCAGGCCACAAGAGAGAGTTGGATAGGAAGTGGAACAGTCTGGACTCGAACTGGTGGCCATATGGGATGCCTGCAGTGACCCACTAAGCCACAGCACCAGTCCCCTAACTTGGGTATGTTCCACACTAACAAAACAAAGTCCCTATGGCTGCATCAATAACAAAATAATAATTATTACAGCAATAGCAGCAAAAACTAACTGCTTATAGTGATCCAGATACTATAATAAGGAGTGCTTTGCATGCTTAAAGTGATTTAATTCTCACAACAGTATTTTATGATAGGTACTATTACTTCAAATTTTTAAAAATACTTTATTTATTTGAAAGGCAAAGAAAAACAGAGGAAGAGCAAAGAAAAAGTGGAAGGAAGAGAGGAGGAGGAAAGGGAGTATGAGACACACAGAAAGAGATCTTCCATCCTCTGGTTTATACCAAAATGCCTGCAACAGCCAGTGAAGCCTCAGGCTGCACCCAGGAGCTGGGAAGCATGCCTCCCAGAAGTCAGGAAATGGCCCAGGTATTGAGCCATCACCTCCTGCTTCCCAGGCTATACATTAACAGGAGCATGGAATTTGGAGTGGAGTTGGAACTCAAACCTATACACACTAATATGAGACTTGGGTGTCCCACGAAGCACCTTAACCTCTATGCCAAAAGTATACCCCAGGGGTCCTGGCTTTGTGGTGTAGTACGGTTAATTCACTGCCTGTGATACCTGCATCCCATATGGGTGCTGGTTTGAGTTCTGCCTGCTCCACTTCTCGTCCAGCTCCCTGCTAGTGCACCTGGGAAAGCAGCAGAAGATGGCCCAAGTCCTTGGGCCCCTGCATCCATGTTGGAAACCCATCTAAGGCCCCTGGCTACTGGTTTCCAGGCTGGCTCAGCCCTGGCCATTGCAGCCATTTGGGGAGTGAACCAGTGGATGGAAGATTCTCATTCTCTCTCTCTCTCTCTCTCTTTTTCTGTTCCTCGCTTTCTCTCTGTAATTTTGCCTTTCAAATAAAGAAATAAATTTTTAAAAACTCACAAAAGTCCCAAGGTCCCTCTCTACAGGTGAAGAAACTACGTTAGAATAGGATTACAGGCAAGCAGGTAGCAGAATCAGTTGATTTTGGTGCAAAATGAGTTTGAAAGTCAAGCAGAGTTTTTTCACCATGTGCATTTTCTATGGATTTTTGGAGGACCCAACTATAGGATGTCTTTTTGATCAGGAAGAAAGAAGTGACTTCCTGTTCGAGAAAACAGAATCCACAGCAATGAATTTACCTGTTCTGCTCGGTGTCCGTTGGGCTGTGCCACTTTCCACCAGGGGCCCGTCAGCAGGATTCCCCTGAGAATACGGTCTGCCACAGCTGGGGAAAATCAGAACAGTTCTAAGTATAACCTCCTCCTTGCAAATTTCATAGGCACACACCATCCATGCATATGTTCACAAAGACAACAATAATCAAGTCTTTCTGCTCTTTACTTATTTATCTAGTGGAAAATTCATTTTGTTTTACATGTGGATATTGATGTAGGGTGTCCTGCTTTCTTTCTTGTGAGAGAATGATCAATAAAATGCACTAGAAAATGCATCCGACTTTCATTCTCCTCTTCCATATCCTGCATGGTATTTGAGGGGAACGTGCTAGTAAAATGTATTACATTATTTCCAGAATACTGGAATAGGTTGCTACCTATTTTTAGTATCAAGTTTGGAGGTGCTGGCATCTATTTGGTCAAAAGTATTTTCCCCAATGTAATACATTTGTGTATCTCTAAAAACTTCACCATTAGATTTGTTTCTTAGAGTTCATTTTATGTCCAAATAGGTCTCTAAGAAAATCAAATGTGGGTTAAAATAGCATGATGCTATATCAACTTTATTTTTTTGGCCATAGTTTCCAAATGAATTTTTTTTCAGACTGATCCATCACCTCTCAAAGCCCTAAGGAAATGAACCATGCAGAGGGACACTTTGATGATGAGTGAATGTACAATGGCCTGCACAGGGTACTGGTTGAGAAAAACAGGGCATTGGGTGCCACAGGCAACCAAGAGAAAAGAGGGTGCTTGAGAGGGCAACAGTGCCCCTGGACACAGTGGCTTGGAGGATGTGAAATACTTCTTCCCCCCAACAGTTGATTATTTTGGAAATTAAAAATTAAGCCCACAATGACCTGGTAAAGTTCCAGACTGGCTTCTCCCTCTTTTATCCTCTTTAAAGACTTCATGATTACATTTTAATTCTTTGTTTTGCTGCTGGATTCTTTCTTTTTGCCTAATAATACAAAGCGTCTCAGAGGGGTTTTGTTCATGATTTAATTAAAAATTACCTGCTCAAAAATGAAATGGGTCAAAGTTCATTGTTCAGTATCTTAAATGTTTTATAACAATTCTTTTGAGTGTATTACAGATACAGTACAGAAAAACATTTTTCATGTAGAGAATATCTTCATAAAAAGGAAATATGCTTTTTTTGCTCAAAATGTAAGTAGGAAAGCTACAATTGCTAATTATGAAATCCTATCAGTTTGCCTTAGGCAATCACAAAAAAATGCCAAGACACAAGTAGATACAATTGATGGGCACACATTCTGAGATAAAACATAGAAGTAGAGTTTAGTAGTTTGCATATTTTTATTGCACAATAACACCTAAAAACACTATTTAAATTAGTAGTTCCAAGATATCAGCTCCCATGCCAAAAAAAGAGCCCGTGGCACAGAAACTGCAGCAGCCAGGGGCCAGGAAGTCAACGCCAAACCCTTCCAGTTCAGCAGGGGAAACCACAGCAATTAGTCCTGTGTTTCTGGAGCTCTCTTTGCCTGCATGGGTGGCTGCCTTGAAGGCAACAATAGAACCTGGTTTAAATTATAGACTTATAAAGCCCGAATAATAAAACACACACTACTGTATGTATAAACATCACCCAACAACTAGACAGTGAAATCTTGTTTTTCTCTGAAGCCCCTTTTATAAAAATCCCATTACATTTTTCCTGCTAAGGATATGAAACAAACAAAGAAGCCCATGATGAGAAAAGCTATGTGAGTGGTAGATCTTTTCTGGACATGTCTCTACCACAAGTCTGGAGCCCACAGTAAGATTCTTCCTAAGAAAGCTGGGAACAGATGTCCTTGGAGGCAGATTTCTCTGCCAGACATCACATCTTGACCCTGAGTATGCATCACAACACAGTACTTTTCTAGTGTGTCCTTCCAAGCACTAGATGCATGGGCAACTATTGGCCGTGAACCTAGAGAAACTGGTTCTGTGGTCAAACACTCAGGAAACATGAGATGAGACAAAAATCAAGAGGTGTTCCTTCAGAGGAACTTCTTGGAGCATTTAATAAAGTGACATGTGTTATGAAACATGACACGTCTCCTCGACACTGTACTTCAGAACGCGCTTTTTCTGGTGTAGGAAAAATGATGTTTATATTTCACAGAAATTATTGTAATGAAAAAGCTGATGGATGAAGAGAGGACAAGAAAATAATGTGTCAGGACAATTTTTTTTTCTCTTACCCTGGCTAAACAAACAAAACTGTTTTTAAATGTAAAAATATTTGCAAGGAGAAAATAAAGATTACAAAATAAGAGACATTAATTTGGCTTGCAGAGTTTATGAATAAAGTATATCAACTTGAAACTTGTAAGGTTTAATATCAGCTAACTGAATATATTGGTAAAATCAGGGTCTATGAACCAAAGTTAGACCCTAGAAGACCACCATGTTACTATAGTAACCTTAGAAAAAGAAATGGCATTTTATTCAAGATATTCACATGAATATGCTTAAAAATACTCTGCTGTTTTCTGTTTTAAAACAATGTAATGCTAAGATCAATTACTCCAGAGATGCTTATTACAGAAAACACTACAAAAATGTTAATCAGTAAGAAAAGGTATTTTTTGCTTAGGGATAGTATTGGCAGAATTATTATTACAGCCATCCTCTGTGACAGAAAACACTTTGCAACTCCATTTTGACACCCAGGATCAAGACCAGCAATTCAGAGAAATATTTGTGTCTAGCCATTGTGTGACATGTACAATATTCACATTTTTAAAATGGGAAATGGAAACTTAAAAAATCATTAAAAATCAACATAAAATACTCCCTGGAGAGCAAGTAAAAAAATCCCACAAAATTTCCTATTATATATTGTATTGTATTATATATATTATATATACTATTTTTATTATATATTATATTGTAACATTCACATTTTAATTACATATTTTCCACATTCTCCATAAGCAGACAAAACATACAACTAATTACTTTGTATCATTTCTAAAGATTAGCTGGTTGGCTTATATGGACTTTAACAGAGAAGCACTGAAAAATTAAGTTTCTGGGATAGCCCATCCAACACCAATCACATCATCCTATACTTTCTTGTCAACTATTTTGGCAGCCTGGAGTTGTGTGGGCTGTTTTTTTTCTTTTTTTATTTCTTTCTTTCTTTCTTTTTTTTTTTTTTACAGGAAGAGTGGACAGTGAGAGAGAGACAGAGAGAGAGGTCTTCCTTTGCCGTTGGTTCACCCTCCAATGGCCGCTGCGGCCGGCGCACTGCGCTGATCCGAAGCAAGGAGCCAGGTGCTTCTCCTGGTCTCCCATGGGGTGCAGGGCCCAAGCACTTGGGCCATGCTCCACTGCACTCCCGGGCCACAGCAGAGAGCTGGCCTGGAAGAGGGGCAACCGGGACAGAATCCAGCGCCCCAACTGGGACTAGAACCCAGTGTGCTGGCGCCGCAAGGCGGAGGATTAGCCTACTGAGCCGCGGTGCCGGCCAGAGAATTTTCTTTTTTTCTTTTCTTTTTTTTTTTTTTTGTGTGTGTGTGTGGGGGGGCTGTTGATGGGTGTCACTTTGGGGAAAACCATGTTTCATCTTGTGATTCAACTCCTACACAATTCTTACCTGCTACATATCACAGGTGGAGTCAGGATCTGCGGGGAGAGATCTGGGGCACTCTGAGTGCAAATTAAGGCCCTGTGAGAACCTGGGCCTTGTCTTGCGGCTGTGTCAGCAGATTCTGGAAACTGCACTGTAGAAATTTTGCTGACCGGGCTGCTGGCAGGAGTCCCTTGGAGAGGTGAGGAGCAAGGGGACGAAGGAGGTGAAATTTTAGAGAGGGCACCTGAGAAAGAATAAGAGTTAGGAAGTCACTCAACAATGTCTTTGAAATCAAAAGCTGCAACTCTTAAAACTTCACCTTGATTCCTATAAACTCAACAGCCACCATCTGGAGGTAGCGTGTGTGGTTGGGTGTCTCCATGCTATGACATGTGAGTAACCGACCCATTACGAAAACCACGGTGGCGATACTGGCACATCCAGCTAACGCCCTGTTGTCCCAGAGTAACTTCAGGACAGAAGGATATTATTTTCTCCTCCCAGTTTTGCTTCTTCTTGTCATTCTGACATGAAAATAATAGTTGAAGTCTTCTCTTGTGTTTGGCTTCTGTTAAGTGGTGAAATGTTGAGTAGAAGCTGAATCTGCTATTGTTTTAAACATAACCCCAGTATCTGGAGCAAAGTTTTGGAGGCATGGGGTGCTTAAAATATGGAAATAAAGACAACAAACTTTGGAGAGGCAATTCAGTTTATGAGGTCACTTTCAAAAAGTTCATGGAAAGGCATATAATGATGAACCTATGCATAGATTTCAACTTTTTGCACCCAAGTAAACATGTATTTGAATTATATTTTCCATGAAATTCTTTAGGTATCCTTGTATTACACTGACATTTTCAGTGGAAGAGTTCCTTCCTGTGTAAAACAGTACCTTGACTAAAATAATTTTGGGAGGAGCCATTAAAAATATATAGTATGATCCATTTTAGATCAAACATAGGCCCAAAGTTCAAATTTCAAATGTCGTATTTGTGCCGAATTATCTATGCTTATTGCGCGAGAATTTTGCAAGACTTGGGGACAGGGGCCATGTATCTAGATGTCATTCTCTCTTGAACACAGAGAGGGAAGCCAACACTGAAAACTGAAATAAGGAGAAAAAACTTCTGAACGACCCCGTTTACTGGTTTTCATGATTTGACGGCTGAACAATCTACTATAGGGCAAAGCAAACGTAATCACTCCGAGTGCCTCTATTTCTCACCATGTGGGAAATTCGTAAGAATCAACCTCCCATCTCTTGCTGATCTGGGTGGTTAACTGACTGCTTGGCTTGGAGCAAAGCTTGCTCCCAGTGCACAGTTCCTTCAAACGTCTGATTTATCACACCCAAAGCTTTGCTGGTCTCCTCAAAGGAACATGAGGCTTGCTGAAGGTTTTTGTGATTTTCATTTCACATTCTTTGTTGGCACTGTTACTTCTTTTGTTTTAAAAAATGAAGCCTCTCACTCGTCCTTTGCTTAAGCGTGGGGAACAGCAACTTCTCTTTTTCCCACTGTTCTGTTGGTGATTCCTGATGGATTATAATTAACAAATTAAAGTAGGCACAGTGGCACAGCAAGTTAAGCAGCCTCCTGGGACACCTACTTCCTGTCCGGGAGCATCTGGTTAGAGTCCTGGGTCCTCTGCCTTCATTCCAGCTTCTTGGTGATGGATTAGGGAGCATTTGCATGGCTTTTCAAAAACTCACCTTATGATCTGTATTTTGATTTATATTTGTGTTAAACAGATTTAGCTATTTTTACCAAAAATATTGGCTAACTCTCACATTACATAACCTCCAAAGCTAAAAGAAAACTAAGATCATAAAATTTTTAACTCGGAGTTTCCCAACCAACATATCATTTGTGCAAGCAAATTAGAGTGTGATCTAAGTATTAATGTCTGTAAAGTGGAAAAAAAGATAAATGTATTATTCAAATAATAAATATAAAAAATAGAGGCTAGTGCTGCGGCACAACTGGGATTCCAGCATTCCAAGTGGGTGCAGGTTGGAGTCCCAGCAGCTCCACCTCCAATCTGGCTCCCTGCTAATGCTCCTAGGAAACCAGTGGGAAATCTCCATGAAGCTCCTGGCTCCCAGCTTTGGCCTGGCCCAGCCCTAGCTATTGTGGCCATTTGGGGAGTGAAGAAGAGGATGGGAGATCTCTCTCTATATATCTATCTCTCCCTCTCTCTCCAACTCTGCCTTACAAGCAAATTTAATAAATATTTTTTTAGAAAAGAAACATTTGAAAGCTCAAGAATAAACTCAATTTTTAACACTATGTCTAATATTTTAAAAAGTTCATTCACAATAGCTACAAAGATTTAAATACTCTGGAATAAATTTAACCAAAGAGGTGAAAGATCTCTACAGTGAAAATTGCCAGACATTCAGAAAATAAACAGAAGACACACACAACAAAAAATGGAAAAATCTTCCATGATAGTTGATTGGAAGAATTACTATCATCAAAATGTCCATACTACTGAAAGCAATTTACTGATTCAATGAGATTCAAATCAAAATTCCAAGAATATTCTTTGCAGATCTAGAAAAAAACAATGCTAAAATTCATATGGAAACACAAGAGACCTTGAATAGCTACAACAATCTTAAGCAACAGAAAGAAAGCCAGAGGCATCACAGTACCAGATTTCAAGAAGTACTATCTGGCAGTTATAACCAAAACAGCCCTGGCCCTGGCACAAAAGTAGATATGCACACTAATGGAACAGATTAGAAACCCAGAAATCAATTCATGCATCTGAAGCCAGCTAATCATTGACAACTGAGTTAAAACCAATCCCCAGATAAAGAACAGTCTTTTCAACAAATGGTGCTGGGAAATTCAGATCTCTGTATGCAGAAGTATGAAGCAGATTCCTTATCTTACGCTTTATACAAAAAAACAACTCAAAATGGATCAAGGATCTAAATCTATGACCTGATATCATCAAATTACTAGGAAAGAATAATAATAGAAACTCTGTAAGATGTTGGTCTAGGCAAAGAATTCTTGGAAAAGATCTCAGAAACACAGGCAATAAAAATATAAATAGACAAATGGGACTACATCAAGCTGAGAAGCTTCTGAACTGCAAAGAAAACACTCAACAAAATGAAGAGGCAACCTACAGAATGGGATCAAAATATTTGCAAAATATGCAACTGATAAAGGATTAATATCCAGAATCCATAAAGAGCTCAAGAAGCTCAACAACAAAAATAACAATCCAGTTAAGAAACGGCACAGGACTGGAATAGATATTTGTCAAAAGATGAAATTCAGTGGCTGGCATTGTGGTGTAGTGGGAAAAGCCACCGTCTGCAATGCTGGCATCCCATATGGGTGCCAGTTGGAATCCTGGCTGTTCCACTTCCAATCCAGCTCTCTGCTATGGCCTGGGAAAGCAGTAGAGGATGGCCCAAGTCCTTAGGACCCTGTACCCACATGGGAGACCTAAAAGAAGCTTCTGGCTCCTGGCCTCAGTCTGGCCCAGCTCCAGACATCAGGGCTATTTGGGTAGTGAACCAGCAGCTGGAAGATATCTCTCTGTCTCGGCTTCTCTGTAACTCTGCCTTTCAAATAAACAAATACATCTTTAACAAAAAGATGAAATTCAAATGGCTGAATATATACACTATGGAATATTACTCAGCTGCAAAGAGGAATGAAGCCCTTTCTTTCACAACAAAATGGATGCAACTGGAAGCTATTATGCTAGTGAAATAAAACATTCCACAAAAGACAAATTTCCTAGGTTTTCCTTTATCTGTGGTAATTAGCAGAGTGCAAAAATACAAAGTATAATTATTTGCATTGCAATCTGCATAAAATTATTCCTGTGCATAAACTTAGAGAAAATGGCAAAAAAAGTTAATGGGAAATGCCTGTTATTAAAAAAAAGAAGTGCCTGGATTTCAATTTCTTTTTGCGATGAAATGAGCCTATTTTTAATTGGGTTTGAAGGACTGTAATATCTTTTTGAAAAGATATCTTACATGATTATTTTCTAATATTTTTAATTCATGTAGCTAGCATTTGTATAGGGCAATTTACCTAGGTGTTACATGTGTTGGCACTGTAATTATATCCCCCATGATAGGCTTCCTGATAGCTATTTGTACACCTCTGATCACCCCTCTGATTACCAGGGCTCATCTTAGTGCCAGGTAATAGACATAGCATGTATGATGAATGAATCCATCTTGATAACTAAATGAAATATAAACACAGCTTATTATTCATATAATTTTTTATTTTTAATTATGTAGTCTCAACCTAAGTCTACATAGTATCAGATATTTTCACATCTTACTAATATGCTTGATACCATTAAAATGTGGTATTTGCTTTAAATTTATCTTGAATCAGGTTTAATTAGGACACTGCAGCTCAATTCACAATAGCTAAGATATGCAATCAACCCAGATTTCCATCAACTGATGACTGAATGAAGAAAATGCGGTATTTATATAAACTATGGAATACTCAGCCATAAAAAGAAGGCAATTCTGTCTTTTGCAAAAAAAAATGTATGCAACTGAAAATCATTATGCATAGTAAAATAAGTCAGTCCCCAAAAGACAAATACCATGTGTTTTCTCTGATATGTAGTAGTTAATACAGATTGCGAAAAAATGTACAGGAATGAAATGGACATCCTGTGATTCGACTGCTGTTTTCAGTCCTTGTTTATACTCTCGTGGAACTCTGGCCTTTCTACTTACTACTTACTGAATACTACATTAGTGGTGCATCAAGCCTGTGATTACAGAGTTGACTGAAATTATGTTCTGCAAAAATTAAATTAAAAAAAGAGGAAACAGGAGGGTGACTGAAGGAGGGAAAGAGGCAGGAATCAAGTATGGTTATGTTCTTAGAATTGCACCTATGAAACAGATGGAGCCTGTTTTCTTTATATTAATAAACTCTTTTAAAAAAGAAATTGAAATGGCCAAAAGACACATGACAAAATGCTCAGGATCACTAGCCATCAGGGAAATGCAAATAGAAACCACAATGAGGTTTCACGTCACCCCAGTTAGAAATAGAAACATATATATAGAAATCAACAAAGAATAATTGCTGGCAGGGATGTGGGGGAAAAGGGATCCTACTCCACTGTTGTGGAAGACAGTATGGTGATTCCTCAGAAGTCTGATTATGGACCTACCATATGACCCAGCCATTCCACTCCTGGGAATTTACCCAAACAAAATGAACTCAGCATATG